TTCGATCCCGATCCTGACGCTTGCTGTATATTTGGAGTTTGCGTGTCTCTCTATCTCCCCGTGGTCGCGTAGATTTTTCTCCGGGTCCTCCGGTTTTTCCCTCCACATTTTTAGAATTAACATCACCACGTGTTTAGAGTATTTGGCTGTTATGAATTTCCACGTGGTGAGCCACTTCGTTCAGCTATCATTTTGCAACCAGGTCGCTTCTGAAAAATAGCTATATAGCTCAGTGGGCCTTACTTGGTAAAATAAAAAAATATATACATAGTTTCGATTTAACTGAGGGCACCCCAATGGGCTCCCCCCTATCTCCGGTTGTAGCCAACATCTTCATGGAGAAATTTGAGATTACTTCCCTTCTACGTGACTTTACCGAAATAACCAGAAGATATACATAGTTTATATATTGTACAGGGTGGTCGATGGAACATCGCTCCAAACGGTCCGCTATGTAGAGAGACGGCCAACTTGTTCTGGACATCTTTGAAAAAAAAGAACTTCATAGGTCATCAGATTCTTCCAGGATAAATAAAGATTCGCATTCTTAGGAGTATGACTCACACATCTCTACGTGACCCACCAATTCCTGACTTTCTCAAGCGCTGCGTCACAGGCGAGCGTCACGTGCCGCTATTGCTAAAGCGGATATTCGTCGCGTTTGCACCAAGTTCTTCGCGGAAAAAAAATGTAAAAGAATCGACGACGCATTTACGTTCAATTTCGATGGCATTTTAATACCGTTAGTGCACAGGTTTCCCATGCTCTATGCCAGGGGTGGGGAACCTTTTTTCCTGCCAAGGGCCATTTGGATATTTATAACATCATTCGCGGGCCATACAAAATTATCAACTTAAAAATTAGCCCGTTACATTTGGTCAAACATTTAATTAACTCACCCCTAATGCGATGGCTGGAACTGCTTCTCTTTGGTGAGGCGTGTGATGTTAGCTGGTATTGATGATGTTGCTACTCGCAACTGCTTTGCCAGGTTTGCTCCTAGATTTATTGAATTTCGAGTTCCGCCTGCGGTTGCCTTGGCAGGGCCACACCAAATGATTTTGCGGGCCGTATACGTCCCGCGGGCCGGACGTTCCCCACCCTGTTCTATGCGGTAGTAGTAGATGCGATCTAAAAAAGGGACGCACAATGCGAAACCACACGAGGAGAGACAGCTGCCTGCTGAGACACAGTACACACCCAGTACATACACACAGTACACACCCAGTACACACACCCAGTACACACACCCAGTACACACACAGTACACACACACAGTACACACACACACACTACACAGACAGTACACACACAATACACACAAAGTACATACACACAGTACACAGACAGCACACATAGTACACAGACATTACACACAATATACACACACAAAACACACACAGTACACACAAAGTACATACACACAGTACACAGACAATACACATAGTACACAGACATTACACACAATATACACACAGAACACACAGTACACACAGCACACACACCGTACACACAGTACACACACAGTACACAGACAGTACATACACACACAGTACACATACAGTACACACTCAGTACACACACAGTACACACACAGTACACAGACAGTACACACACAGTACACACATTACACACACACAGTACACACACAGTACACATACAATACACGCACAGTACATACACAGTACACAGACAGTACACACACAGTACACACGCACAGTACACACACAGTACGCAGACAGTACACACACAGTACACACGCACAGTACACACGCACAGTATATACACACACAGTACACACGCACAGTACACACACACAGTACACACGTACAGTACACACACACAGTACACACACAGTACACACACAGTACACACACAATGTTTCCCCACATTCGACCGCATAGCCTCATTTGAGTGAATTGAAACCGCACGTAGCGGATTTAGGCTAAGAACCAGGGTTAGCCGCATGGACACAAAACCGCACAAAGCGAACCCGCACGAAACGAATCGCACGAATCGGTTCGTCAGCAGCTGGCTGTGCCTATCGTGAGAGGTGGCGTCGGCTGGAAGAAGCATTGATCCAGCAGTGGATCGGGCATGGCTGATGATGACGCTCATGATGATGAATACGAACCACTGGCCAATGGGAGTCCCCAATTATAGTACAACAGCAACTTGAACCAGACCATCCGATTATAAGAAGAATCGATTATTATTATGATGTAGATGATCGTTTCGATGAATTTGACGCTGGGCGGGGAGGGACATCGCGATATTTAAATAATTGATTATAACAAATCGGCGTCCTTTATAATTTTCAATCGTTACTTCGACTTAGCTCGTCCCAGAAATTACACTAATTAGTAATAATGTTTGTATATCGCGTAAATACTGTGACAAGTTGCATATATATGACATATTTGGTGCGAAGATGATGATTTATTCGGAGGATATTTAAAAATTATATATTTTCTTTACCAGCGGCGCTGATGATGATTCTATGATTATATTTTCCATAACATGAAATATTTAGTGATATCGAGTTTCGGTGGTGGTGGTGGTCTTCATGATATTGTTGTATTTTTATGATAGTGGTGATGCTGATGATTCTATAGTTGTTCATGATGGAACCTTGCACGATCTTGAGCTCAAGTGGCGGCGTCGGTGATGATAATATGAATTATAATATGAATAATAATGCTTACATTTAACATTAAGCGTCGTCTTTCCAGCATCCCGCATCTCTCGCCAATCGCTTACGAATCGCCGGCAGGAGGGGGTCTGTGTTACCAACGAGTGCCCAGTGACCACGATGATATTCACACGTACAAAACACGTGATCAAATTCTATACCACTACATGTTTCAAGGTATCGAGTTGAGACGGTGGTGGCGATGATGATGATGATGATTATATCGTCAATAAGACGAGTTAATGTATCCATGGTCGAGGCGGTGGCGTTGATTTGCGACGGTGGTGCCCGCGAACAGCACTTGCCCCAACAGTCTGCTGAAGGCTACACGGGTGATCTTTGTCTTTCGTGATGATGGCGGGGAGCGGTGGTGCAGCGGTTAGCGCTACGCTGCGCTACGAACCCGGCGACCCGAGTTCGATTCCCGCTCGCGGTCACCAACACCCAGGGACGATTATTATCTGCACCGGCCCTGGGCCTCCCCTAGGTCGACTCAGCCTCCAGTCAGTACCTGGTGCGGTGTGTATAACGTCGCCACGAGGGAGACAAAAGCGGGCGGGCGAGTTGATCTGCACCCACCCATGTTGGCTAACGTAGGCGCTGGCTGAGAGCCCTTTGCACCAGCGGGCTACCCGGGGGGTATTTGTCTTCGGTGACCGGACGAGGAACGATGAAAGTTTAAATTCTACTGCCCGTAAGTGTTCGCGCGATGTTCATGACGATGATGATGTGGCTGGCGTCTCGGGAATTAAACGACACAATCGTAGAACTCGCTCGATCGCTCGCTCGCTTCTATCTTAGCCCCCCTCCTCCTCCTCCTACCCCCTCCCCCATCAACTCCCCCACCCCCCACTCCGATGCCCCCCCCCCCCAGTGCCACCCCCCCCCTCCTCGGTGTGTCTGTCGTTGTGACGCGTGTGCAGAGAGAGAGAGCGCATTTTTCTGCTCGCATGCCTTCAATGAATAACCATGAGCGGGTGATGGGTGGGAGGCAGGGGAGGGGATGGATGCGGGGGGGGGGGGGTGCGGGCGGGGGGGTCGTAACAGAGGGAGAGAGACACCCGCACAGGAGGGGGCTGAAGGAGAGACGCACACACACACACCCTGTGTGTGTGTGTGTGTGCGTCTTTGTGTGTGTGTGTCTTTGTGTATATATGTGTGTGGGGAGCGGTGGTCGAGCGGTTAGCGCGCTGCGCTATGAACCCGGCGACCCGGGTTCGATTCCCGCTCACGGCCAACACCAGTGGCGATGATCTGAACCGGTCTAGGGCCTCCCCTAGGTCGACTCAGCCTCAAATGAGTACCTGGTGCGGTGTGTAAACATCGCCACTGGGGAGACAAAGGCGGCCGGGCGTTGTGTTGGCCACCCACCCCCTCGTGAGCCGTGCCGGCCTTCATAGGTGCTCGCTTACGGCACTTGCCCTAGCAGTCTATTGCAGGCTATACGGGGATCTTTGTCTTTGTGTTTTATATATATACACACAGGGGCGAGTGTAGTGGTTAGCGATACGCTGCCCTACGAACCCGGCGATCCCAGTTCGATTCCCTCTCACGGCACAACAGCGGTGACGATTATCTGAACCGGTTCTGGGCCTCCCCTAGGTCGACTCAGCCTCAAATAAGTACCTGGTGTGGTGTGTAAACATCACCACGAGGAATACAAAGGCGGCCGGGCGTGGTGTTGGCCTCCCACCCCATCGTGTGCTGTGCCGGCCTTCATAGGTGCTCCGCTAACAGCACTTGCCCCAACAGTCTGTTAAGGCTACACGGGGGATCTTTGTTCTGTGTGTCACGTACCCAAGTTCCGAATCTTTGTTTTGTATCCTCGAGAAATCGAGAGGAGTTCGATCCCCGCTCACGGCAAGCACCAGTGACGATTGTTATCTGAACCGGTACTGGGCCTCCCCTAGGTCGACTCAGCCTCAAATGAGTACCTGGTTCGGTGTAGTAAACAAACATCGCCACTCGGCTCGCGAACAGCACTTGCCCCAAAAGTGTGTTGAGGCTACCGGGGTGATCTTTGTCTGTGTTGCGTGTGTGCGTGTGTCGCGTTGTGGGAGGAGTATACGAAAGTAATGTTTGGATCCGGCGAGAGAGAGAGAGAGCATTGAGGGTGGATGAGAGAGAGGGTGGGGGAAGGAGTAAGGGTTTGGTTGTGGGGGCAAGGGGGGGGTGGGCGGGGTGGATGGGGGGGGGGGCTCGCGGGGGGAGTGGGGGAGGCGTAAGAGTGAGCGATTGAGAGAGGGGGGGGGGCAGACGGAGGGAGTGACATGGGTGGTGGTAGTCGTGTGTGTGTGTACGTGTGTGTGTGTGTGTTGCGGTGGCGTGGCGTTTCGCCCGCGTTCAGCCGATTCTGCCCAGACGAGTCGCGTCCGTGGCTCCGAGCGGGAGCTCGCTCCTCGCTCGCGTCAAGCAGCAACAACTGCAGCAACAACCACTCAGCAGCAACAATTCAGCAGCAGCAACTCAGCAGCAACAATTCAGCAGCAGAAACTCAACAGTAACAACAACTCAGCAGCAACAACCAAGCTGCAACAACAACCATTCAGCAGCAGCAGCAGCAACAACTCAGCAGCAGCAACTCAGCAGCAACAGCAGCAACAACAACCCAGCAGCAACTCAGCAGCAACAACAACAGCAGTAGCAGCAACAACCGCAATACTATTATTGCAATTGTACGGAGGAGCTGAGTGCGTAAATACAAACTTGTCGATGACAAGAGTCGTCTCGTAGCGGTGCACAGCTAACGCGTGCCAATATCCCCGTGACTTTTGTAATTTTATATATATAAGATATTTCTTTTAGAGTGGCAACGGCGGGGGGGGGGGGGATTTGATCGCTTTTTTTTAATCTGAGAGCATCTGACTGCATTCGTCCCAAATGCTGGTCCACACGTACGCGGCCATGGTGAGTTTGCCGCGTCGCGATCTTATCTCGTTCTTATCTCTCTCTGCGCGCGCTGTGTGTGTTGTATTATATGGGTCGACTCAGCCTCGGCTGAGAATCTCGTGCATGTGTGTAAACGTTAGCGCGAGGGAGACAAAGGCGGTCCGGACGTGGTGCTGGCCACACACACCGGCTCGTCGTGTTGTGACGAACCTTCACAGGGGCTCGCTGACTGCACTCGCCCCAACAGTCTGTTAAAGGCTTTACCCGGGGGGATCTTTTGTAGTATATACACACACGTATATATATGTGGTGTATGTATACATATATTGGGGGAGCTGTAGTGCAGTGGTTAGCGCGCTGCGACTACGAAATCCGACAGAGAGCCGAGTTCGATTCCCGCTCACGGCCACGACGGCCAACTGCAGTGATAGCGATTATCTGAACTGATCCTTGGAATCGCCTAGGTCGAACTCAGCCTCCAATGAGATCCTGGCGCGGTGTGTACACATCAGCACTGGGGAGACAAAGGCGGGTGAAGGCGTGTTTTTTTTCCGGCAACACCAATCACACGACAGTTTGTGTCGGCCTTCGTAGATTCTCGCGAACAGCAATGGGCACCCGACAGTTTGTTGAGGCTATACGGGGGATCTTTGTGTGATCTTCGTAGTTTTTTTTTTTACAAGTTATGAATGTCAATTTCTCAGTCTTTTAATCGTGATGCGATTTGACGTTTAGAAAGCGACAGACAAAGATCTCCCGTTTAACACGTAGGCTTTCGCGACCAATGTTATTCATAATCAACGATTTTTGGGTTTAGATCGCGTTTATTTATAAATGTGTCGTAACCCTCCACCACCCGACACGGCCAATCAGTAAAAATGTGTCACGTTGACAAAGACAAATAGTTCACTGCTTTAGCCCACCGGTGTGTTGAAGCAACAACATTTACAATTTGAGTACGACGTTTCGCTGGTAATTGCGTCGTACTCAAATTGTAAATGTTGTTGCTTCAACACACCGGTGGGCTAAAGCAGTGAACTATTTGTCTTTGTCAACGTGACACATTTTTACTGATTGGCCGTGTCGGGTGGTGGAGGGTTACGACACATTTATAAATAAACGCGATCTAAACCCAAAAATCGTTGATTATGAAAGATCTCCCGTTCATCCTTCACTGATTTCTGACACAAGTTCTGTTTGCGAGCATCGGTGGCCAGCACCACGCCCGGCCGCCTTTGTCTCCCGAGTAGCGATGCTTACGCAACGAACCAGACACTCATTTCAGGCTGAGTGGACCTAGGACCGGGTTCATATAATCGTCACTGGAGCGGGAACCGAACTCAGCTCGCCGAGTTCGGCAGTGTCGCGCGCTCAACCCACTGCGCTACCCACTACGCTACCCACTACACTACCCACTACACTACCTACTACACTACCCACTACACTACCCACTACACTACCTACTGCACTACCCACTACACTACCCTCTACACTACCTACTGCACTACCCACTACGTTACCCATTACACTACCTACTGCACTACCCACTACGCTACCCACTACACTACTCACTACACTACCCAATACGCTACCCATTGCACTACCCACTACACTACCCACTACACTACCCACTACGCTACCCACTACGCTACTCACTACACTACCTACTACACCACCCACTACACTACCCACTACACTACCCACTACACTACCCGCTGCACTACCCACTGCGAGCGATACAGAGAGACAACAAACACACACACACAAGCGCGTACGAAGTGAATCAACTCCACATTGTCGACTGAGATATCGCGTGCGACTTTCCACCGCCACCACCGCCGCATCATCAGCAGCATCAAGCGACGTGTCGAATGCAACTTGTTTCCTATCTCTCTCTCTCTCGCTGTGCGAGTGAGTGAGTGATGCGGGTGGGGTTCTGGCTGGCGGGGGGGGGGTGTCTTCGCGCAAAGCGAGACGCCTGCAGGGCATGTTTCGGGGGGCAGGGGGGTTAGGGGATCTCGGAGCGACAATTGCCCCCAGGGCACGGAGATCTCGGCCGACTCCAGTGCGCTCCGCGCTTTCATTCGCACGCCCGTCGCCCCACCGCGAATCACGCGCGCTGTTGCATCGCTCACAGCTGCGTGTGTGTGTGTTCGTGTTTGTGTGTGTTCGTGTGTGTGTGTGTCCGTGTGTGTGTTCGTGTGTGCGTGTGTTCGTGTGTTTGTGTGTTCGTGTGTTTGTGTGTGTGTGTTCGTGTGTGTGTGTTCGTGTGTATGTGTGTGTGTGTCTATGTGTTCGTGTGTGTGTGTTCGTGTGTGTGTGTGTCCGTGTGTGTGTGTTCGTGTGTGTGTGTGTGTTCGTGTGTGTGTGTGTTCGTGTGTATGTGTTCGTGTGTGCGTTCGTGTGTCTGTGTTCGTGTGTTCGTGTGTGTGTGTTCGTGTGTGTGTTCGTGTGTGTGTGTCCGTGTGTGTGTGTCCGTGACTGTGTGTTCGTGTGTGTGTGTTTTGTGTGTGTGTGTGTTCGTGTGTGTGTGTTTGTGTGTATGTGTTCGTGTGTGCGTTCGTGTGTCTGTGTTCGTGTGTTCGTGTGTGTTCGTGTGTGTCCGTGTGTGTGTGTTCGTGTGTCTGTGTTCGTGTGTGTGTGTCTATGTGTTCGTGTGTGTGTGTTCGTGTGTATGTGTGTGTGTGTCTATGTGTTCGCGTGTGTGTGTTCGTGTGTATTCGTGTGTGTGTGTGTGTTCGTGTGTGTGTGTGTCCCTGTGTTCGTGTGTGTGTGTTCGTGTGTGTGTGTTCGTGTGTGTGTGTTCGTGTGTGTGTGTGTGTGTTCGTGTGTGTGTGTGCGCGCTGCGCTACGAACCTGGCGAGCCGAGTTCGATTGCTCGCTCACGGCCAACACCAGAGAGTACCTGGTGCGGTGTGTAAAACATCGCTACACGGGAGACAAAGGCGGCCGGGCGTGGTGCTGGCCACCCACCCCCTCGTGTGCCGTACCGGCCTTCATATGTGCTCGCTGGCAGAACTTGCCCCAACAGTCCATTAAGGCTATATGGGGGATATCTTTTTTTGACATAAGTAAAAAAAAAGCTTCATAGCTCATCGGATTCCTCCAGTCTAAAGATTATGATTGTGTATATGTATGTGCCTTTGTTTGTCTTTGTGCATATACGCGTCTCTGTATCTGTATAGGTCTTCTGTGTTTGTCTGTGTATCTGCGTTTTTCTGTATCTATATGTGTGTGTGTATGTGTGTAGGTGCATCTTTTTGTCATTTGTATCCGCGTGTCTTTGTGTCTGCATCTGCGTGTGTGTGTGTATGTGTGTATCTGAATTGGGGGGTGGGGGGGGGCGGTGGTGTAGCTGCTAGCGCGCTGCGCTCCGAACCCGGCGAACCCGAGTTCGATTCCCGCTCAGGAACAACACCCGGTGACGATTTTCTGAACCGGTCCCGGGCCTCCCCCTAGGTCGACTCAGCCTCAAACGGGCAACCTCGTGCGATGTGTAAACATCAACAACGGGGATACAAAGGCAGCAGCAGCCGTCTGTGAAGGCAATGCTCGTGTCTCCGTGTGTCCCTCTCCACAAACTGGGGCCACGTCGCTGCCCTTTACGCACCGAGTTCGTCTCGACGCATTGTCTCGTCCGCCTCTCCGCCCGCGTCTGAGTCACGTCCGGCCTCGTTACTCGCGTGACCTGTCCGCTAAGGAGAACATCGCCTCTCCATCGGTCCGCGCGTCCGTCCGTCCGCGCGTTCAACTTTCAAGTTCCGAATCGCGATTCTTCGCCGTTCGACCGCCGCCCGTGCGTGTCCGTCTGCCCGTCTGTCCGCGGCGTCCGTTCCTCGGTGTCTGCGCCCGGGTGTCCGCGCGTGCTCCCCACCCCGCTCGCGCGCCTCCCGAGACTCCGGCATCTGCCCGAGAGACTCCCCCCCCCCGTGCCCCGCTACGCACTCCCCGCGCGACTCTCACGCGCCGATGGATGAGAGTCGCGGCGTCGGCACGAGCGACGCGCCGCGTCTAATTGGCCAACGCGCGAGGCTTGCGTCGCGAAACCTTCATCGGACCTCTCTCAAATCGCTCACGACCGCCTTTGCCTCTCTGCCCCCCCTCCCCTCTCTCTCTCTCCCCGCTCTCTTTATCCTCCCGATCCTTCTCCACTCCGCCGTGGGCAGGAGCGAGCCGACATGGTGGGGTCCCACGGAGCCGGCCGCCTGGCCGCTCAGCTGGGTCAGGCCGGTGGGCCCTACTCGAGCGGGGCCCCACCGCTCTCCCACTCTCACTCGGCGGCGGCGGCAGCGGCAGCCGCGGCCGCTGCTGCCGCCGCCGCCGCGGCCGCCGACTTCCAGCCGCCGTACTTCCCCCCACCGTACCAGCCGCTCGCCTACGCGCAGTCCCAGGACCCCTACGGCGCCACCCCCCACGACCCGTTCGGAGCGTTAAATCCCCTGCACCAGCACAACGCCTTGCACCACCATCACCACCACCACCACAACAACCACCACCACCACGCGCACCAGAGCCAACAGGCGGCGTGGCAGCAGCAGCAGCAATCGAGCGCGGCTCAGAGACAGGCCACACCAGAGGCGGCCAATGCGCACGGCCACGCTCATGGAGGTGGTGGCGGCGGCGGTGGTGGCGGTGGTGGAGGAGGAGGAGGAGGCCACGGACACGGCCACACGGGCCCATCGCACCACCACCACCACCACGGGGCGGTGAGCGGCGGAGCGGGCGCGCAGCACGCGATATTGCCCGCTCACTCCGCGGCGTCGACCCGAGCCTTGGTCACGCAGCTGTCGGGCGGCGGACTGGAGTCGAGGAGAGACTACGGCACCCCGCGGCGCCCGGACATTCTCCTGCACGGCTCCGGTGGGGGGCCGCCCGGGGGGGGGCTCGACGCGTCGCTCGCGGACGGACTCACGCTCGCGGGACTCGTTCATCAGCACATGGACGACATGCAGGTGGGTGAGAGGGTGGGTGGGTGGGTGGGTGAAAGAGTGGTTGAGTGGGTGAGTCAGTGGATGAATATGTGAGTGAGTGGGTGAGTCAGTGGATGAGTATGTGAGTGAGTGGGTGGGTGGGTGAAAGAGTGAGAGTGTGGTTGAGTGGGTGAGTGAGTGGATGAGTATGTGAGTGAGTAGGTGAGTGGGTGGGTGAATAAGTCAGTGAGTGGGATGTTGTGCGAAGCGGTAGTGCTGTGACGGTGGTGGTGGTGGTTAGCGCACTGCGATACGAACCCGGGCGAACCGAGTTTGATACCCGCTCACCATCAACATCAGTGACTCAACAGCTGGGCCTCTCCTAGAGCGACTCGGCCTTTAATGAGTACCTCGTAAAGATCAGCAACCGGGGAGACGAAGCTGCTCAAGGCGTAGGTGCTGCTCGCTAAACAACACTTGCCCCAAACAACACTTGCCCCAAACAACACTTGCCCCAAACAGTCTGCTATGGAGGTTTTATCGGGGGTCTTTGTCAGTGAGCGAGTGAGTGAGCCGGCGAGTGAGAGAGATGGTGAGTGAGTGAGAGAACCGCGTTACTCACTCACACAACATGAAGACAAAGATCCCCCGTATAGCCTTAACAGGGTGTAGGGGCAAGTGCTGTTTGCGAGCACCTATAAAAGCCGGTACGGCACACGATTGGGTGGGTGGCCAAAACCACGCCCGGTCGCCTTTGTCTCCCTAGTGGCGATGTTTATGAATCGCACCGGGTACTCATTTGAGGCTGAGTCGACCTAGGGGAGGCCCAGGACCGGTTCAGATAATCGTCACCGTTGTTGGTTCGTAGCGCAGCGCGCTAACCGCTCCACCACCGCTCCCCTCAACACACGCACACTTAGTCACACACTCACATATATACACACTCGTTCACGCACTCACTCACTCGGCACGAACTTAATCACTTATCTCCACTCACTCGCTCACACTCTCTCAGTCGACCGCTCATTCACTCGTTCGCACGCAGACACAAACAGCCCCACTCACACACTCACTAATATACCAACTTACTCGCTTCGTGCATACACACACGCACACACACAAAGACAAAGACCCTTTCCTATGGCCTTAACAGCGATGTTTACACACCACTCACGCTAACAAAGATCCCTACGCCATACATACATTCGTACCTATTAAGCACGGTGAGTGGTTGCGGTCTGGTCAGCACCACGCGCGCGCCCGACCGCCTTTGTCTCCCAAGTCTTGATGTCTTACACACCAAACCGAAGTCGACCTAGGGATATCTACGGTCACACATCTGCGATTCATCTAGCAGTCGATAGACCAAAGAGTCTTTCGTTTGTATCGTATTTGTATGTATATATGTACACATCTCGAGGGTTATGTTGATGCTGGTTGTTGTTAGCTGATAGTCGTGATGATGTCATATGACTCACTGAGTCTCAAGACTAATTTTACAGAGGGACCTGTCACATTGATATTTTGGGGCAAATGCAATTCCTTAAGGAGCGTGAAATTAATTCAAATTTCACGCGCCTGCAGTATATATATCTACATTAGGACAAAGAGCCTTAACAGACTGCTGGGGCAAGTGCTGTGAGCGAGTAGCACCTATGAAGGCCGGCACGGCACACGAGGGGGTGAGTAGGCAGCACCACGCCCGCCCGCCTTTGTCTTCCTCAGTGGCGATGTTTACACACCGCACCAGGTACTCATTTGAAGCCGAGTCAATCTAGGCGGAGGCCCAGGACGCGTTCAGATAATCGTCACTGGTGTTGTCCGTGAGCGGGAATCGAACTCAGGTCGGCCAGGTTCGTAGCGCAGCGCGCTAACCGCTGCGCCACCGCTCCCCCCCCCACACACACGCGCGCACTCCACGGTATCGTTCTACCTAATTCGTGGAAACGATCGTGCCGCTGGGCCATGTCAACTCTAATGGCGTTGCAGAGAGGCCAGAGAGTTGAAATGTGGTACAAGCATAGCCCAGGCTGCGCTTGTAACGTGGACACATTCTAAATGCCACAATTTTCCAAACTGGGCCACAGCCCCTGCCCCCCCCTCCAATAAATGAATTGCAGAGAGGCGCCTGAGAGGTTTCACACGGCACGGCACGCAGGATGAGCCTCAAAGATGAAACTCGTCGCTCGCGCAAAGTCTCGTGCTAATCAACGCTTAGGAATAGACAGCTAGGCCAACACGCTTCTCAGCAACACTGTGTGTGTGCGTGGCCTTAAAGGGAACAACATGTGTGATAATAATAGTAGACGACGTTTCGGGCAATGGTCCCTTCTTCATAGCACATAGAGAGGCCATAGAAAGAGAGAGACGGTGGGTAATGCCAGTTGGAGACTACAGACTGATAAGATTTATGTTTTAACATGGCATCACTGCATATACCTCGTGATTTGTTACGAACATACGATCCGCAACAATCAGTGGACCAAGCGATGTTCCTCGCGTGGAGTATGACGCAAACGCTCGTGCAGGTTGCACGTGTGTTGTATCCTGTAGACCTGAACGTACTTTTTGGAGCAAGCGCTTTAAGCGAATAGCACCTATGAAGGACGGCACGGCACACGAGGGGGTGGGTGGGCAACACCACGCCCGGCCGCCTTTGTCTCCCGAGTGACGATGTTTACACATCGCACCAGGCACTCAATTGAGGCTGAGTCAATCTAGGGGGAGGCCCAGGACCGGTTTATATAATCGTCGCTGGTGTTGGCCGTGAGCGGGAATCGAACCCGGGTCGCCGGGTTCGTAGCGCAGCGCGCGAATTCCTACACAACCGCTCCCCACACATATACATATTCACACACACACACGCGTGTACATACGCGTGTGTATACGCGTACACACGCGTGTGTACACATACACACACACGCACGGGCCCGCGACTTACATTGCACGATTGTCCAGATAGTTGTTCACCAACGGTTCGTGATGTATGGAAAGGCACAGCGAACGTAATCATATAATGCGACATCAGCATCTCAACGTGGTCGTGCATGAACACGGAGAGCGAGCGGTGGCGCAGTGGTTAGCGAGCGGACACCCGACTGTCGATTTCCAGCCAGGGCCTAACGTCGTGATGTGCAGCGGGCGTTGTCCCTTCGCCAACCCACAGACTCACCAGCGTGGTGAAGTATGGTCAAGTTAAACCACTGCGCCCCTCCCCCTTAAGACGGCGTGGGGATTGAAGGCTTTTATCCAGCCGTGGATTGACATCGGGACATCAATAATCATCACAATTACAATTTACAACGTGGGTTTTTTTTTTTGCGTATACGCACACACACGCAATAATACACATATATATATATGTGTCAACGGTATCTACTGAACCAGCCAATTACATCTACAGCAGAGAGATATGCAATAAGGGACGTTTCGGGCAATGACCCTACATCTGTACACAGATAATGCTGTACAATTCCGTATAAACAACATGTCCAGATAATTCACGATAAACAACGAATGTAATATACATTTTAAGCGTGCAGAACGGCTGTACCTCTGCAATATTAATGTACGGTTAAAATTACATGTTAAAAAGAAACCCACTGAGACACGTGTACGAATCACGCATACGTCTGTGTGTTATGCAATCGTAATATAAAAATAACCCATCAACAGTCTTGGTCTTCCTCTCGTCTTCTCAGCCCACCGTCAAAATTAATCGGAGCCAATGTGACCGACTGACATCGGAAACAGTGATGGGGGGATAAACACCGCGGGTGGGTTTTGTTCCAATTGCGACTCTTCAGCAGAGCACAGTCAGTCGCCAAATGCGCTGCTGCTGCTGCCGCTGCTGCAAAGTCCGCAAATATGGTGAACCTCATTTGGACGGAGGTGACTGCCAATCAAACAAACACGGCGTCTGTACGTATGTTGGTCATTCGTGCTGAATCGGAGGCGATTCGCGCACGGGTCGGGAAGAGCTCCACCTCTGCTCCATTCCTCCCCTCTCGCCCCTCCACTCCGTCCCGTCCCTCCCCTGTAGAGGTCCTTGCGTGGCCCATCCCTCAACGCGTGCCCTCTGTGACGGTCACGCGTTCTTCGGCCACTTAGCACTGCCCAATGCCATCCAAATCACTCTCCTCTAGTTTCGTTACCGCTTTGTAAGCTATGTTATAGAGCGCCTTGAGCGAAGCTAAGGCACTCGTCAAAATGTAAATGCGACGATATATTAAATGCTGGCGAACTCACAGTTTACTCGTGTTATTGTGTTTTCAGTTAGTCGTGTCGCTTCAGCTCTCACCGCGACTGTTGATGCGACCGTGGCCTCGCGGTCGCTGTTCGCACAACGAGAACTCGCTTCGAGTTGTGCATCTGTAGACAGTCTATATATACTGTCGCATCCGTAGATGCAACGCAACTGGCAGGTCTCGCTTAGCGCGACCCCCTTAGGACCCCCGATTCGCTACAGAGCTCTTCGGCCCTGCACGTGATACGGCTGTTGTTGCCTTGGTTGTTGCTGCTGCCACGATCGTCAATGGAAACTGTTGTTGCATTCATAGTTGTTGCATTCAGACCCTAAACGTAGAGCGTAGCAGCTGGTGTTGTGATGGTTGGCGGTGCGTATTGATAGATATATTGATTTGCATATTATGCTAATTATAATTGCTAAGTGTTTTTTTATATTTGCTGTTGCTGTTGCGTCTTGGGATGTTGGTTGTTGTTGTTGTTGTTTATGTTCACGCTGTATAATTTCACGTTGCTCGTGCGTTTGCGTTTTAACCGTGTGCGTTGTTACATTTACTAAGCGCATGCGTTGACATTGTTGCTGCTGCTGCTGTGTTACCGATCCATTGGCTGGGACGCTGCATGCATACATCACTGTTGCTCCAGCTGTCGCCCCCTTGAGCTACTTAGGCCAATTTGCTTTCCTCTGCTGTTGGAACGTGAGATGAGAAACCCTGCGCCCTGCGTGCGTTCTCTCTCATCTCCACGCGAACCTCTGTCCGTCTCTCGGTCTCTCTGCGCGTGCCATGTCGAACCTC